TGGGATTTTATCCAATCCCTGCGTGAAATGTAATTGTGACTATATTTCGCCGAAACGGCATTGCTCATCGGATGCTCAATTTTATTCGAGTACCACATTGTCGTGTTTTTATCAAGTCGACTGTAACAGAGGAGCCTTCGAACTCTTACTTAAGCAGATCAGTCAAGTACATCTCCCACACACGGGTGTTCATCCATGCCTTCTCCTGTACAACGTACAATTGACCAGCTGGATAAGTAGGTACCTCGTCGCACTCGATTGGTCCACCAGGAGCTCCCTTGTCGATGAACATTATTGGCAGCTTGCTCCCATTGGATCGTATTGAAAACACAGCCGTTACGCGGTCGGAGTGTTTTTGCTCGGTAACCACTTTAGATGACCCGCCGACCTTCGCCAAAGCCTTCGTAGGTGGCATGTCATAGTAGACAAAGATGCTTCGTCAACGTTGGTGATGTCTGAAGGCGTGGTATCATTGAACTTTTCCCAAAACTCCTTTGCAGATGTAGCTTTCGTCTCTGCTAGAACAACTTGTGGAAGCTTGGTCGCACGTGGCACTCGTTGCGAGAAGCGATAGCGCTTGGTAAACCGTTGGCAGAGTCGAAGCAAGCTGTTGTACGCCGTGCCGTCGTTCTTCTTGTTAGCAATGTACTCCTCGAGCCGATTCTTGTGGTGAACGTTATGAGATGAGTATGGGCGAGGTAGGCCTCGTTGTCTCGGACATCATTCATGAAGTCACGCATCGACGAAGCAAATGGGATGCATTCTGGTCTTCCTTGGCCACCCAGCGATGCGAGCTTATCATTGTGGTGAGTGGTCATGACCTTCTCCCTGTTCTTCAGCCATCCCCTCCATGTGCTCCAATCAATTCCATTGGCCCTGGCGTATGATCGAGACGAGACGACGCTTGGTTCGAACATGTCCAAGTATTGCAATGGTCCGTGATTGAATACCTCGTGTACTGCCCCACGCTCGTGCGCGAAGACGTTAGCACTAGCGGCAAATTTGAAGAGCCAATCATGAATTAGTGTTGTGGATTCATGACAATGGATGCTTGCACCGTCAAGGATCCACGTGGACCCTTTTCCAGGGTATACACGTGGCTTTCGGTCAAATTCCCCGGGAAAACATAAATTTTAGCCCTTCATGGCATACCCGCGTTTCCGGAGCATCCCCTGGAGTCAAAGCTGACGTCGTCGAGAAACTGCACATTGTGGTGCGACCAGTCGATCTATGCAAGCTCGTCAAAGAACCGCTGAACGTCTTTTTGTCGCACTTGCATGGCTCGCCGCTCAAACACTTTCCACGTGAACCCGTGGGCATGAATGACACGCCAGATTGTTGATACCGATATGTATGTTTTGAAGTGCACTTCAAACGCTTTCTTGCACTTGTCGAGAAATATATTCGGGTTGACGCAGTAGAAATCAACAATCCATCGCTTATGCTCGTCGCTGAAACGAGCAATGGCAGCTGTCTTCTTGCGGTCGTAGCTTGATGTGCTCTCGTAACGCTCGATCCAGTTCGAGATGGTGCTCAGGA